TTATTGCTGACTGGAAATCCCTTACAGACTTTTTGTATGAAACAGAAAAAAATGAATTTATGGTTTATGGTTTTGATTATTAGACAGACTAGATTATAGAAAAAAAGAGAACTATGTTGTAACTATAGAGTAAGCAGTAAATTTATAATTGCACTTATAAGTGCTGTAAAGAAGTTCGGAATCTGCTTCTTTATATCTTTTTTCTTTCTGGGAGTCCATTACATCCTTAATGAAAATCCACATGAACTCTGAAGGGTGCTGAATGGCCCCACTTGTTTAAGGCAAAGTTTCATGGAAACTTTATTTTTAACCACAAAGAAAGATTTTAAAGTAAGATAAGGAAAGCATACAGAGCACAGCTTCTGAGTTTTTTCCAACCACTTAATAATAGCACCACACTCGATCATCTGCCCAGGAGGGAGGACTGATCCAACCCATTTGCACACTCCTTCTCTTGACAGCTTCTCCCACACAAGCTACATTTGGTCCCATTCAGTTCAGTTTTTGGAGGGTTATCAGAGGGTTATTACCGTGTCCTGAGCAACTTTCTTTCCAATGTTCCATAGGGTTGGAAAGAATAACAAGGTAGGGAAAGCAGGCAGAGCTCAGCTTCTGGAACTCTTTCCAGCCCCTGCCGTACAAGGTGACTGTACTTTCTCCCGCATAACAAATTCACACGTGCTGTCTGTGAGCAGGTTTCTGCCCTCCCCCATCTTGAATCAGTGTGTCTGTGCACATGTGTGCGCTGGGAGGCAGAGGGCAGGTTGCATATGCTATGCTCTGGGTTGCACAAACGGAAAAGGTAGGCTTCGAATGAATGCATTGGCTGCCAAGCTGCCTCTCCCAGGAATGCACTGGGGAATTTTTTTTCTAGCCCCCAGCCAGATCCAAAATACTTTCAGGCTCGATTTTGGTCCTCTCCTGTTCAGTCCAAGGTGAGCTCTTCTGCTGTTGGACACATGCAGGAGGGGTTTCAAACTTTTTCAGGCAATGGGCTGGCAGTTATTTTTATCCTGGTCACCTCCTGATTAAGAGGCAAAGCTCCAATGATGGAAATTGGCAATAAAAGAAGAGGGTGGTGCTGAGTGCAACTAATTGCATCTGTCTACAACAAAAGGACCAGCTGGGAATCCCTGTCCGGAGGGAAGCTGCAGCCCCGCCCACCCACATCCTCCCATTTGACCTTGTTCAGGGGAAAGGGAGGGAAACGGGCCTGAGCAGGACAACTCTGCAGAAGGCAG